TTAATAAAAATTAATAAAAATTAATAAAAATTAATAAAAATTAATAAAAATTAATAAAAATTAATAAAAATTAATAAAAATTAATAAAAATTAATAAAAATTAATAAAAATTAATAAAAATTAATAAAAATTAATAAAAATTAATAAAAATTAATAAAAATTAATAAAAATTAATAAAAATTAATAAAAATTAATAAAAATTAATAAAAATTAATAAAAATTAATAAAAATTAATAAAAATTAATAAAAATTAATAAAAATTAATAAAAATTAATAAAAATTAATAAAAATTAATAAAAATTAATAAAAATTAATAAAAATTAATAAAAATTAATAAAAATTAATAAAAATTAATAAAAATTAATAAAAATTAATAAAAATTAATAAAAATTAATAAAAATTAATAAAAATTAATAAAAATTAATAAAAATTAATAAAAATTAATAAAAATTAATAAAAATTAATAAAAATTAATAAAAATTAATAAAAATTAATAAAAATTAATAAAAATTAATAAAAATTAATAAAAATTAATAAAAATTAATAAAAATTAATAAAAATTAATAAAAATTAATAAAAATTAATAAAAATTAATTAATAAAAATTAATAAAAATTAATGAAAATTAATAAAAATTAATAAAAATTAATAAAAATTAATAAAAATTAATAAAAATTAATAAAAATTAATAAAAATTAATAAAAATTAATAAAAATTAATAAAAATTAATAAAAATTAATAAAAATTAATAAAAATTAATAAAAATTAATAAAAATTAATAAAAATTAATAAAAATTAATAAAAATTAATAAAAATTAATAAAAATTAATAAAAATTAATAAAAATTAATAAAAATTAATAAAAATTAATAAAAATTAATAAAAATTAATAAAAATTAATAAAAATTAATAAAAATTAATAAAAATTAATAAAAATTAATAAAAATTAATAAAAAATAATAAAAATTAATAAAAATTAATAAAAATTAATAAAAATTAATAAAAATTAATAAAAATTAATAAAAATTAATAAAAATTAATAAAAATTAATAAAAATTAATAAATATTAATAAAAATTAATAAAAATTAATAAAAATTAATAAAAATTAATAAAAATTAATTAAAGTTAATAAAAATTAATAAAAATTAATAAAAATTAATAAAAATTAATAAAAATTAATAAAAATTAATAAAAATTAATAAAAATTAATAAAAATTAATAAAAATTAATAAAAATTAATAAAAATTAATAAAAATTAATAAAAATTAATAAAAATTAATAAAAATTATTAAAAATTAATAAAAATTAATAAAAATTAATAAAAATTAATAAAAATTAATAAAAATTAATAAAAATTAATAAAAATTAATAAAAATTAATAAAAATTAATAAAAATTAATAAAAATTAATAAAAATTAATTAAAGTTAATAAAAATTAATAAAAATTAATAAAAATTAATAAAAATTAATAAAAATTAATAAAAATTAATAAAAATTAATAAAAATTAATAAAAATTAATAAAAATTAATAAAAATTAATAAAAATTAATAAAAATTAATAAAAATTAATAAAAATTAATAAAAATTAATAAAAATTAATAAAAATTAATAAAAATTAATAAAAATTAATAAAAATTAATAAAAATTAATAAAAATTAATAAAAATTAATAAAAATTAATAAAAATTAATAAAAATTATTAAAAATTAATAAAAATTAATAAAAATTAATAAAAATTAATAAAAATTAATAAAAATTAATAAAAATTAATAAAAATTAATAAAAATTAATAACGAAAACGAAAACTGTTATTCACTTTTAATAATTGAGGTGTGAAAAATTCCATCGAAGCGGGATCGGGTCAGCTAATATTTGATAACGTTTTAAGATTATGATATATGTATTTTGCTCTTTGATAAACTATGTTTAAATTTTTATTAGGATCAAAAAAAAATTATAATTTTCATTTCAATTACAGGAACCCCTTATAATATTAAAAAGTGGGAAAATGTCAGATTAGTTATTGTTTAAGGATCATCAACTCTTTAAACATTTATCTAACTAAAATGTGTTACGATTAGAAGGTATGTTATTAACTTTCTATTTGTACATGTATTAATTTATTTCATTTTATCTCTGTTTGGTATTTTCAAATTGATTTTCATATTAATCTTATCTATTCTATTTTTTTTATATTCACATATATGTTTTTTCATTGAAACAAACGTTTATTAGCTTATTAAATATAATGAATTCACGTTGTTTAATTATATGCTTCCATAAATGATTACTTTTATTTCCTTTTGAAAATGAATTTCGAAGACAATCTCCGGCGAGACGCCACCTTTTTGGGCTTTCGCCGGCTTATCGCCAGCGAATCGCTGGCGAAACGCCGGAATGAATCTCTGGCGAGTCGCTGGCGATCGACTATGCATACGGTGTGTGTTCTTACAGAGAAATGATACGCCACTGAACAAGAGGGGATGTTTACCTTCCTCGTTGTGCCCGCTGCTTCCTCACTTCCTCTACAGATGTTGCGAACACAACAATCGCCTACAAATTCGTTTCACGCTCTCTCTAGTAGTAAATGCTCGTGGTAGAATTCCTCATAGTTGCAGAATACGGCTCCAGGGCGTATCACTAAGGTCCGTATTTATAAACAGACCTCAAATGAGTCCGACTTGTGTAGTCGCACATACATTCATTGCGTTCGGTTTGCCACGTTCCTTTAACTCCTTTAACACTTTTAACTCCAAACGACTCTTTTAGCGTTCGGTTTAGTCCGATTAGTGACAGTTTAACACGCTTAAATGTCATTTAAAAGCACCCTAAAATTTGTCCCGCTCCAGACCCTGACTATCCGAACTCGCCTTTTGATTACTATACGGGGCAAGAGAGAGGTCCGACACGCCCAACATAGGGCGCGGCCATTTTGAACCCTATGACACAGTTTATAGCTAAAGAATCAGATCGCTCACTCTGCGTCGGCACTTTTTATCTCAATGTTCCAGTTTATACACTGCGCAACTCAGATAATACAATATATGACAACCGCCTATAATAAAACAGCAGTCTTCTGCGTATCCTGAATTTGTATTCCTGGAGTGGATGTTATTTTGGAACTTTCAACTGGTCCGAGTGAGCTAACTGATTCTTTAGCAATAAACTGTGACTCCAAAAATAATATTAACTGACACATGTGACCACATACTTTGATTTTCTTTTACTATACGGAGAATGGTCGCACTGCGCAGCTTTCTGAGTGCCTTTTAAAAGGAGATAGAAAACTCCGCCATTTTGAACCCTTATTACGTGTTGCCTACATCTTGGCGCAATATTTTTAATAGGTGCGTTTTAATCATCTGCTTCTGCTTCGGAATTGTCGGTTTTCTTGTTTTAATCTGACAGGTTAAAACGACTAAACCGACAATTCTGGAAGCAGAAGCGGATGATTAAAACGCACCTGATATTTTGCTTGCTGCTGTCAGTGTCAGTGAATATTATTTTTGAAGTCACAGTTTATTGCTAAAGAATCAGTTAGCTCATTCGGACCAGTTGAAAGTTCCAAAATAACATCCACTCCAGGGATACAAATTCAGGATACGCAGAAAGACTGCTGTTTTATTATAGGCGGTTGTCATATATTGTATTATCCGAGTTGCACAGTGTATACACTGAAACATTGAGATCAAAAGTGCCGACGCAGAGTGAGCGATCTGATTCTTTAGCTGTAAACTGTGTCACAGGGTTCAAAATGGCCGCGCCCTATGTTGGGCGTGTCGGACCTCTCTCTTGCCATGTGACTCACACTGACAGCAGCAAGCAAAATATCAGGTGCGTTTTAATCATCCGCTACTGCTTCCGGAATTGTCGGTTCAGTCGTTCTAACCTGTCAGATTAAAACAAGAAAACCGACAATTCCGAAGCAGAAGCGGATGATTAAAACGCACCTATTAAAAATATTGCGCCAAGATGTAGGCAACACGTAATAAGGGTTCAAAATGGCGGAGTTTTCTATCTCCTTTTAAAAGGCACTGCGCAGTGCGACCATTCTCCGTATAGTAAAAGAAAATCAAATCAAAGTATGTGTGTAGTATGTGTGTAGTCGTCTTTAAACTAAAATCGAAGTTCGGTTACAATGCCTCTAAAGTTCCAGGTGGTTCCGGTGTTACACTGGAATTTAGAGATGGATATTAGAAAATATGTAATTAGGTCTGTTCTGGTTTTGAGAAATAACGATCCACAACTGTCGGGCTCATGCGCAGTAGATAAAAAGTGTTCTGGTTTTTCTGGGACTACTTCGGATCTCTCAGTCCAGTGTTCTGGTTTCGTATCCGAAATAATCCGTGATTGTTGTAAACAGTCAAAAAGTGTTCATGCTTGGGAGTGTGGATCGACTCGGACTGTTTTGACCGCGCATGCGTTTTTGAAGTGTTATGAATATTGTATTGGCTTTTTAGACCATACGAAACGTATACAATCCCAAATTGTTTATTTATATGTGGACGAATGTCTCTTGTTCTTGTTTTATTTGTAAATTAAAGCAATTTTAGAATTATTAATTTTTTAATATTCTGTTTTTATTTATTCCATTGAAATGTGATGATAATGATAAACATATACATGCAAATATTATTTGAAGCTGAGCTTTCAAAAGGAACTTCATTATTATAATAAACAATAAACAAAACACCTTTATGACGTGTTCTGGTTTTCCAAGAATTTCAAACAGTCGGGGATTTTTTGCCTTTACGCATACGGTCCGGCGCAGTTTCAAAACAGTTTTCATTTTGAGAACCAGAACAAACCTATTGTTAAGTACATTTACGGATTTGTTACTATCCATCTCTAAATTCACTCGATATAACCGAACTTCGATTTTAGTTAAAGTACGGACACCCAAGTGCGACTCAGCTGAGTTTTGTTTATAAATACGGACCTAACTTCAATCGCGAATCCGAACGCGGCAGCTACTACTAATGACAATGACAATTGACAATGAATTGACTTTTTGGAAATGCAAGGTTAAGTTTTATTTATACATGTTTTCAAATTTTAAAATTTTTATTATCTTATTTTATAACTAATTTAGTGTCAACCATGGATTTCTGGAAGGACGTGTTGAGTTCACCAGTAAAAATCGTTGCTCCAATGGTGGATGCCAGTGAACTTCCTTGGAGATTATTAAGTCGAAAATATGGAGCTCAACTCTGTTACACTCCAATGTTACACAGTGCTATTTTCGCTAAAGATCCCAAATATAGAAAAGAGGCTTTAGTCTCTTGCGGAGAAGATAAACCTCTAATAGTGCAAGTAAATGTCACATATTTTTAATAGTAATATAACTTTAAAACTTTAAGGTTTTAGTGAATAAATCTTATTTTAGTTTTGTGGCAATGATCCAGAAATTATGTTAGAAGCAGCTTTGCTGGCCCAAGATTATTGTTTGGCTATTGATATCAATTTAGGGTGTCCCCAGGCTATAGCTAAACGTGGGCACTATGGTGCTTTTCTTCAGGATGAATGGTCTTTATTACATAATATCGGTAAAATTATCAAAATATTATTTTAATACAATTATTTTAAATATATTTGTGTTTTTAGTAAACACATTAAGTAAAAATTTAAGGGTACCTGTTACATGTAAAATCCGAAGATTCGAAACAAAAGAAAAAACAGTGCAGTATGCACAAATGTTGGAATTAGCTGGTTGTAAGATGTTGACTGTACATGGTAGATTAAGGGATCAAAAAGGACCACTTACAGGATTGGCTGATTGGAGTTACGTTAGAGCAGTAAAGTAAGATTCTTTTTTTTTATTTATTGAACATTGAAATAAAAAAATATACAAAAATCATTTAGAAGGTTATACATTAATTTGCAACTTAAGTCAAATGACAAGTATTAAGTAACATTTTTGGAAGTAACTCCAATAAAAACTGTTTATCTAATAGTATACACAGCTATTTTGATCCTCATAGTGTGTATATCTACTTTTAGATATACATGACTTTCAAAGTGTTAATAATAATTCAGTTGATTTAAAATTTTATAGAGAAGCCGTCAATATTCCTGTTATTTCAAACGGCAATATTCAGTGTATCCAAGATTTGGAAAGATGTCTTGAAGAAACTGGTGCTGTTGGTGTAATGACAGCGGAAGGGAATCTGTACAATCCTGCACTATTTTTAGGACAAAATCCACCAGCTTGGATACCTGCTAAGGAGTATTTAGATTTGGCAGATAAATACCCTTGCCCTTTATCTTATGTTAGAGGACATTTATTTAAATTGTTTCATCATATGTATGTAGAAATTTCAATTTTTATTTTCACCAGTAATCAGTTTAATCGTTGTAGTTTGTCAATACCTTCAAATAATAATCTACGGATTCGATTAGGGGCTGCAAATACAATGAATCAATTTAGAATAATAATTGATGAAATAAGAGACATGTATGAACCATATCATGAAGGACTGAAGTTGTGGGAACACTCAACAGATAATTATTCTCAAAATATTGCACTTCCACCTTGGTTATGTCAACCTTATGTCCGGGATACTCCAGAAGATCACATTAAAAAAGTGGAGGATAAGAAAAAGGAAGCTGAACAAAGAGAAGTATATAACTTAATCATTGTTGTGTGCTAAATCGTTATAATGAGTGTTCATGTGAATGCTTTATTTGTGGTAAAATTTTCATTTCATCTCCACTTCGCCCCCAAAATTGTCGTCAAAATTTTCAGTGACACCCTATGAGTACATCTTTATTGAAAAAAGTTTCCAAGTTACAATACTTTTTGAGTCATTTTAATTTAAAATGTTAATAGATCTTCTAATGCGCTAAGAAGAATCAAGCTACCTATGAATGAAAATTATGTGGAATTACATCGCCCTATGCATTATCTCATACACCAAAAATTAAAGTATTTATCTGAAGTTTTCATGCAGACATCCGCTATATACACTATACACCCTGATAATCTTATAATAATTGTTATTTTTCATAGATAAACTATGTCCACTGTTTTTTATTTTTTCCTGTTTTATTCCAGTTACTCTTTTCTATAGTATTTCATCAGTTGCAATGTCCCATGTTTTTGATTACGATAATTTTCTGCAGTTATTTCTAATCTTATTTGGCCATTATTTAAGTAATACTTCAAAACCATCCTAGTTGTTGTTATTGTTGTTCTTCTATTTTGTCATACATACCTATATGGCCCCTGCTTTACTGATCATAGGGAATACTATCTTTCCACCTCTACACTGATAAATGATAAATTTTGGTGTTTGGTGAATATCATGTTTGAGGCATGTAAACAAGTAAAGGTGAACCCATTATGTACGTTTTTATATGGCGTTCAAGTTTATTTATATATGGCGTGGACATGGAAATGGCATAGTTCACTATGTTCAGGGTGGCCACTTTTTCATTAAAATGTACTGCTATATTGTAAACCGTTGGTAACACAAAATTTTTTAAATGGTGAAAAAGTTGCATATTTTGAAGCACAATCTGACAAAGTTTTGAAAACCAAAATATCAGATCCGGTTTCCGAGATATTCGATAAAAAAAAAAACAAATGAGTACCATTTCTTTATTCCACTAAAGTACGTTTATTTGCAAAAATAGACAAAACCTCATTTAGGGTTTTTTGTTTTATATCAAGTTGTAGGTATGATAGTGTACTAGTTTTTATCTGACGTTTCGTAAATGCAGGACCACCATCAACTTCTTTATTAGCATATGGAGCAGCATTGTATACTGAATACAATGATGTAACAACATGTCAAGATTAGTCAACATTTCGGAAGATTTGAACATCATTAGGTAAGTTTACAAGTTCGGACCTGTATTTTGTTTTATATAAATGTTTGGATTAGTAAATGATGTATTATTGATTTAAGAAATTATTAATATTAAATACCAAAGTCAATCTTTTAACTTGTGGTTGTAATCTTTACAACAAGGCGTATTTTCACGAGCTTTTCGTTTATTTTTTTGCTAAAAAATGTCCATTTTTATGGTTTTTGCTCTTTTCATCCTGGCACAAGTAAAGTACATCCCGATTTTGGCCCCCCCTCGAGATTAAAATTTTTACACAATCCATGAGCCTTTTATTTAGGGTGATCATATGCACAGCATTTCTAAGTAGGTATCAGCAGACCATAAACCCCTCCCCCCTCCCGAGTTTTACAAAAAATCTGTGCAAAATGCCACTATTACCACAGTTTATAGCTAAAGAATCAGTTCGCTCACTCTGCCTCAGCACTTTTGATCTCAATGTTCCAGTTTACACATTGCGCAACTCGGATTTGTATCCCTAGTGCATACATAATCAAATCATAACCAATACAATATACGACAACCGCCTATATTCAAACAGCAGTCTTCTTCACATCCTGAATTTGTATCCCTGGAGTGGATGTTATTTTGGAACATTCAATTGATCCGAGTTAGCTAACTGATTCTTTAGCAATAAACTGTGCTATTACCAAGGAAAAGTAATAAGTAAGACTTGGGAAGTAAAAAAAAAGGTATTTTTATAGTTTTTACATGCGCCTTGTGTTTATCTTTGGGTTGAGATGCAAAAAAAATATCTGCGTTTTGAGGACCTAAAATAAATTTCTGTTTCAGCATCAAAACAAATATGATCACCCTCTTTTGTTATTTGCATGGCCCCTCCCGAAAATTCAGCCTGGAGCCGCCCTTGCAGTATGTAATGAAGTCAATTTTTCCTCAATCGGTTTATAATAATTTATCATTTTTAATACAAATAAGCGCGCGCGAGCTGCTTGTCTTCGTCGGGACAGGTGCGCACTGCCGATCGACATATCGATGCGAGGTGGTACTGCCGTTGGTGGGGTCTCTGCTATGGAAAGGGAATCAACGGTTGAACCAGATCCGAGATTGAATTAAAAATTTCAGTTCCTAATAGACTTGCTTTTACACCGTTTTATTGAATAGGCGAATATTTAAAAATTACTCCGACACGATTCCGATATTGCTCGCGAGAGACAATCAAAACCGAAATATATTTCTAGCCGCGATCTTGACGATAGGTAAATTGTTGTCATTGTTTTTATAAATTGATATTTGGTTTTCGCTCGAGACTTTAAGCCATTCTATTAGAAACCGATTTATTTTGATTTATTTTTAATTAACAATATTCCGTGTTGAGATAAGAATTTAAATTTGTTTTGATTAAGAAATACTTTAATTTATTCTTGTTAGAAAACACCGTTCTTTTGGAATTTCATTTTAGTTTATTTAAGGTTTTAACTGTTAAATAATTTATTTTTCATTCGATCGTAAATATAGTCGTATAGTTAATTTTTCCTACTACTGTAAATTTCCGTGGACAAATCGTAAATTGAATCGGTCATTTGAGAAACAGCACATGTCAGTTATAGATTATTTTTCAAAAAATAAGAAAAAGTGAAAATCTCAAAGCATGGTTAAAAAATTGTCTTGTACACTAATCGTTTAAAACTTGTTCTATTTTGGGTATAATTTAATAATTAAAATTTACCTTTAAATATTGTATTTTTATAATAAAAACAAAATGGCCAAAATGTGACATGTGTCGTTTCTCAAATGACCGATTCAATTTCATTTTAGTTTATTTAAAGCTTTAACCAATAAATAATTGGTCGGAACTGTTTAAGAATTGTCTAATATTTTGATTGGTTATCTTAATATAATTGCGACATTTTCTTTTGTTTTATCCGCCGAACCGCAAATTTTAAGAGAACTTAAATAGCATCATTCCCCTGTCTGAAGCGGCTCGTGATTACGATCACTTCATTCAGAGATAATGTGCTATCCCGGTTATTAGTTTATTTTACATCTGAAACATTCATTTGCGTAAGTCTCCGTTATTTCAAGAAAATTGAAATAGTATCATTCCCCTGTCTGAAGCGGCTCGTGATTATGATCACTTCATTCAGAGATAATGTGCTACCCCGGTTATTAGTTTATTTTACGTCTGAAACCCTCATTTGCGTAAGTCTCAGTTATTTTAAGTGAACTTAAATAGTATCATTCCCCTGTCTGAAGCGGCTCGTGATTACGATCACTTCATTCAGAGATAATGTGCTATCCCGGTTATTAGTTTATTTTACGTCTGAAACCCTCATTTGCGTAAGTCTCAGTTATTCTAAGTGAACTTAAATAGTATCATTCCCCTGTCTTAAGCGGCTCGTGATTACGATCACTTCATTTAGAGATAATGTACTATCGGTTGTTAGTTGTTTTTACTTTCCAACCACTAGTTTGAGTAAACTTCTTATAGAGTCCCGGTTTCAGCCCTGGAATTAGTAATAATAATAATAATAATAGTTTATTTGTCCTTTAGGATCATGTTACATGATATAGGTTAGGTCATAATATACCGGGTGTTCTAAATTAAAGCGTTACAGCTATATACAGCTTTTTATAAAAAAAAACGTTTTAGACGAAAGTTTTATAGTTTTGTAGGGAAAAACTTTTGGCTAAAATCGTTTTTTATAGCTAACCATAATATGGCCAACTTTTTTTTCGCGCAGCAACATTTTCAAGTAGCTATTACTCAAAAAGTAAAAGTCCAATAAAAAAATATTTCGCTCAAAAGTTTCTTATTTTTTTATGTACTTTAAGAATATGTAAGAAAAAAATGGGATTCCAATTTAAAAAACAAAGTTCACCTCGATATGGCCATATTATGGTCAGCTATAAAAAAATGTATTTAGCCAAAATGTTTCCCCCAAAAAACTATAAAACTTTTTTTTCTAAAATGCATATTTTCGGCGGTATTTAACACTTTAATTTGAACACCCGGTATATGAATAAAAAATATTAAAATACAAATAAATATAGGTACAGTATACAAAAAATATATACCGTCAAACGGGGTGAATCAGGACTAAGGGGTCAATTGGGACAATATGACGTTTATTTACAAACACGTGATTTTTATGCTTGTAGCCAATGTTTTTAGGACGGGTACTATGAAAAGCCTATTGCAGAATCCACAATCGTTTGACCTTCGTATGTAGCCGTCAGTTAATTCGCAACGCTTCATTGGTACAGGTGTCAAAATATTGCAGTATAATTTTACGTTTTTAAAACCGGCTGAAAACTTCGTTTGAAAAAGGTATTTATTGTAGGATTTGAGTATTGCATTGTTAATATAGTATACCTGTGGGTATTTTCTAGATGTTAAGTAGTCTTTGAATAAATTATTTTGTAAAGTTTTTTTTATTATTAATTAATGAAAAAAAAAAAACAAATTACTTCTAGGGGTGAATCGGGACGATGGTCCGAAAATACAAAAGAACGCCTAGGACTAGGTTTTACCAAAATTATAGTAAAGAGCAGCTTGAAACGGCTTTGAGGCAATTTAGAAGAGGCCAAATAACCCTTCGAGAAGCAGAAGAGTTATATAATATACCAATATCGACGCTACAACGACATGCTAAACAGAAGCCAAAGAAACATGGTGGGCAAACTATTTTGTCAGAAGGTGAGGAAAGTAGGCTAGTGCATTTGATAGTATTGGCGGGAGAGTGGGGATACCCGTTGGAAAAAATTGATATTCGATACATCGTTAAGGCATATCTTGATAGAAAAGGAATAA